ATAACTTAAGCGAAAGTTTGAGTTAAAACACCTATACACAAGACGTACACCAAAAAGTGGAAAACCTACCAAAAAGATATGTTTTTTTATTACACATGACACCCACTCTTCGACATAACGAGGAGCCTCATGGGTGCACCAAGAAAAAAGGATAAGAGGCTATCAATGATGCAAAATCAATTTCTACCCCTTCAACAAGTCTCATATTTCTCACCAACAACCCACATGAGTGCTAGTGGACTAACTTCCCACGCCTTACGTCTTCATCTCCATCTTCCAGTTGAACATTTCTTACAGTAACCGGCATCACCAGAGATATACCAAACAATCCCATAATTACCTATATAGCACTAACAAACATAAGTAATCTCCCTCTTCCTCAAATTCTCAGCCGTCAAAATCATCCCTCTTGTGGCTAACCAGGTAATAAAAAGGCACACATTTCTCGATATGTTAGGGATCCAAACTGAGATGTACTGAGATGTAAGGAGAAGCTACCTCCTCCTAGTCAAAAGATTCTCATAACATAAGTTAACAGAAAACCCTCCAAGGTTCCCAAACCTCCAATATAGTGGCAGTCATGTGATGTGCTTTGTTTGTGAAGTAATTCAATGCGGCTTTGAAATTCTGACAACTTCCAATCTTGCAATTCCATCCTATAGCCTCCGGATTCGTTGAACTGTTACCTCCTGCTGGCAAGTTCTGCAAATGTTTAGAAAAGCAAGCCTCAAAATGTTAACCCCACACCGCCAGTGCCCCAAAAAACGTAACCCCCACCCCCCAAAACCCAAGAGACACATTAGCACTAAACTATTCTCACCCCCTCAAAATATTCCTCCACAACCCACTCCCACAATGCTCGTAAAGAACATAACCGTGAGGGATTGTCAATAAAACACTTGATACAACTCATCTCCTCATGGATAAATGACGATGGCGCTTAAAGTTCTGTTTTCCTCGAGCCCTGTGGATAAAATCAGTGTCACCAGCTGGGGCAGAACGTTTCTTCATGAGCTCTTTTCGCACTTGAGCAATTGGAGCAGATCTGCAAGTTCCTTTATTTGTTTTAACTTGTCGGAACTCAGCAATAAAGTTTCGATTTGAGCTTGATTGACTCGAGTTTGACATCTGACATTGAAGTTTTTCGATCTGTTCTTGAAGTTGAGAAAGTGAATATTCCGACTGAAGACCAGGATCCACAATATGTCTAACTGCATTTCTTAGTGCATTTATTTCATAATTTATAGCCTTCATCTGCGAAAAAGATAGATCAAACTTGATTTTGGATTTCAGAAGAAATGATCATGAAGTTATTTGCCAAAGAGGAAGAGAACACTACATACTTGGGCTCGATGAGAACTATTTCCAGCATGAAGTATTTTCTTGGCAATCTCTTCTGAGTGTCTTACATAATCCCTCAGGAGCATCACTGGTGAAACCAAGTTAACAAGATCAAACTCATAGACATAAGTAAATGCCACCATCCACTGCTTTTTATTTATAAGATTTTGGACGAAGCCTGTAACTCAAAAAATACAAAAAAAAAGGGGGAAAGAAAATATCAGTCAGATAAATCCAAAGGCTGTTCAGTCTTTGGTTATATTCAGTAAAAACGAAGTGAGTAGTGTAAAATGTTCCCTGTCAACTGAAGTTACAAGAGTCAGATGAAAACATCAGCTACAGTAACAACTTAATTTTTTGTTCAAATATCGGGTCACAGATATAGAGATTGCACGTTAAAGGAACAAGAATTTTAGCCAATGCTGATGATGTAAAATATCAAACCACACCCTCAAAATAACTCAGCTGAATGCATTTTCTAGTTATATTGTACATCAAAAGATTTGGAAAAATCACAGAATAAACGAAAAGTAAACAAAGGTTTATCAGCTCCAAAAATTCTCACCAACTTTATTCTGAGAAATGAGATCAGAACTCCTCTTCAAAAATGCCAAAGAGATACAATTCAAAAGACTAGGATGCTATTCAAGCATTCAATCACTAGGTACCTTTTCTTTCAGCAAATAACATAAAACACCTATGCTTCACAATCAAACTAGTCAGGGTCGCCATATAAATCCTCACTATCCATGTCACTCTATTTAAACTCGTCTTAAACAATATTTAACAATTGAAGTTCATTGACACTAGATGTTCTCTATCTTTTCTACTGACATACAAATCCTAACAAGATAAACTCCTAATATTGGACCTAAAGTAAGCGTAATAATAATACGAAGCCTTAATCACAACTAATTGGTATTGCTATATGGATCTTTTCTTTCATTATACTCCATTTTCCACTAAGTTCGGATGGATCCGAAGAGATTATAGGTCTTTCGAGATAAACCTCTTTCTGTGTGATTTAAGGTCTACCTTGTTTCCTTAACACCTTCAATCACCATGGTTACACATCTGCAGACCAGTACATCTCAAGATCTACATAGGATATGACTAAATTATCTCAAGCGAACTTCTCTTATTTTATCCACTGTGTGTGCTACTTTCACCTTTTGTCAAATGTGGTTGTGCAACCTTTTATGATTGTTGATTCATCCTAAATCGATTAGTTTTAAGCTAGCAGTCAACCTGTCTCAAGTCTGCTGCTTTATAAACTATGTGAGAAGGCTCTCATAGATAGGGTTATTTCGGCTAATAGCATAGACCTATCGAATGTCAAGATCACGGTCGCCAAGGAGTAATTCCATATGTTCCTTGGAAGAAGTAAAACCAATTTCTACAACAGGAAAAAATCATCAAAAAATGAATGCTACTCATAGAATGTCTGATCAAATTGTAGTATGCATAATATAAAACAACAAGATGAATCCTACAAATTCAGTCCCCTCAAAGGACAATAACAGGATCTAAATAATCAATTAAAAAGGCAATAATATTATAAAATAGGAAGCAAAATTCCATCATAAATGAGAAATGAACACATCTAGAAATGTGTGACCCTTCATATGACAAGCAGCAGTGCAGCACATTATTCATATTAGGAGGTGACTGTGTGTGTACACAGGCAAGTACATTTCAAAGTGAAACAAACAATAGAAAGAGAGAGGAACATACATCGGATCTTATCTGTCAACCCAAGGATTTTGAACAAAGTAACAACACTTTCAGTTGGTTGAACTTTCTCCAAAAGACCAAAAAGTGCATCTGAATGGAAAGAGTCTATTATTTTATAAATAGCTAAAAGCTGCACAAATGCCAAGAACTCGGATGTATTTAGCTGGGACCCGATCAATGTAGAATACCAATCAACTGCAAATGCAATAGCCCCCGCTTTAACATGAGGTTTAATTTCTGGAGAAGTTTCTCTCAGCTGGTCCAACAGATCAGAGAAGCTCCGCATAACTGATGGGAAGTTTTCACACCTCCCTAATTTTGTGGGATGACAACTCCGGAAAGCATCCAGTACAAGCAAAGCAGGATCTGATGTACGAAGTAAACTTGAGGCACAATTGCAGATTACATCATGTCCTTCGCATTTCATATCCATGTTGTTGCAAACAGATTCATCTGTATAGCCTTGAGCCTTGTGTCTCTTCGATTCTTCTATAGAAGGAAGATCATCACTTACTGGAAAGCCAATATTAACACAAACTCTAGGAAAAAATTTGACAATACCATCTACAAAATTCTTAGATTTGATTACTTACTTGAAGTATTATTTGAAATACCAAGGGCGTGACAGATTTCAGATGTATTCACATGCGGTGATACCTTGTGATACAAACTCTCAAGTTCATCTTTATCGAAGGCAGAAGCCAATCTGTAGCTACCTACAAGAAGAAGAAAACCCAAGATTGCCAAATGGTTTTCCATTTCACCCATCATCTTTGCTTTCCAGGCAAATGCAAGCTTGCTAGCTTCTAATTTAGCCTCTGGTTTAATCTCCGGCGAAAGTTCCATGAACTGTTCTAATAAAAGGATGCAACTCTGCCTGATAATATTACGATTAAATTCAATCTCTTCTTTCTGATAGTCTGGAGGATAAAACCCTACCAGTGCTTCCAACACAAGCATCCCCGAGTCCAGCGACATTTGAAGAGCACTAAAGACTTCACTGCGCAACAACTTGTGCTCCTTCAAATGTTTGTTTAAGAAATTCTGCAAATCCTCTCCACTCATGTTCATAAGGATAATGGCCATGGAATTGGAATGACCTAAAGTGCACGAGGGGGTTCTAGCAGAGAATGATGCGGAATTGAGGGCCTTGGTGCCTGTGGGAATAGATGGATTAGTAGAGCCCATCTGATTCACATTCGCTTGCTCTGGCGTTTTAGCCTCATAAATGACACATAATGCAGCTTGATCTTCCTTCTGCCTTGTAAGCACTTCTATACATTCTTCAAGGTGTTCTATCGGATATTTAAACTGAAGTTTGTAATTCAGAATACATCTGATAACAGCTCTAATAGAAGCAACCTGTTGTTCAATGGCCTCAATCTATTTGCAAAATGTCAAATTAAACATTATAAAAATGAGTCTTAAAGGAGGGGGTTAGAACATTGGCAACAGAAGTGGCATAATACCTTTTCTTCGAATGAGCAGGTCTCTTTCTGGCAAACATTCATATAATTACGTTCAACATATTCCACGTAATTTTTCAGAATGGCTGTGGGTGGGAACTGGTCCACAAGTTCAAATGCATAAGCATATCTAATAGCTTCAAGATGTTGTCGCTGGGTTAGAAGATTCTGGACAAAACCTGTAATCAGAACGAGTAGGTTGTTTTAGTTCGAAACAAACTTTCCCAAAGAATGCAAGGGCAGTGCTGCAGATCTTGTTGAGGAGAAAAAAATAAATTAACTGCTGGATTTTGAGGTGTGTAGCTATCGGGAAAAGGAGGAGTGGTTGCTAAAACATGAACAAGTGCACAATCTTTTCATCTTTATTTTGACAAGTCCACATCTAGATCCATTACTCTTATACACATGTGGCATACATTCAAAGTTTGAATATAGCCCCATCAACAACATCATACCCAGTATAATCCCACAAGTGGGATCTGGGGAGGGTAGTGTATACGCAGACCTCCCCTTCGAAGACCCTCAGCTCAAGGACAAAATGAGAAGGATTGAATATAGCCCCATATCTACGTGAAATAAGGTACTTATAGTTGGTAAGAAAGAATTAATACTTCTAAATAATCGTCTTTATAGAAATAGACACAGTTTCTAACATCAAGAGACAAGGAAGCTTTCAAGATAGTGCAAGAGCTAAGAAATTCAAGTAATTCTAGGCAAAGAGATCATTAATGAGATGATATAAACTAATCTTTTGTTCAGCTGAAAAGTTGCAATTGCTTTACTTAAGGGTGATTCTGCGTTTCTAAGCCATATCTAGGTTACATATGAAACTGGAGTAATTTTGTTGTGTCCATTCAACATAGTGCCAAAATATACAGAAGCTGGCAGAAATGATGGGGTGCAAGATAGGACAATTTCCTACTATATACTTGGGGTTGCCTTGGGAACTATGTTTAAATCAGTTAAGGTTTGGCAGGGAGGAGTAGAAAAGTTTAAGAGAAGGCTGGACACTTGGCAGTTTGCAGACAGAGTAATATAATTATCCGATGCTGACAGAATTCTCACCTATCGCATGTCAATATTTCCAAACTCTAAAAAAGTTCATAAGCAATTGGACAAAATCAGAAGAAAATATTTATATGAAGGGAATTGCACCCAAAACAAGTTTCATCAGGTGATATGGGAGAGGGTTATGCTGCCAAAGAAGGAGGGAGGGATGGAAATCAGATTTTAGCAATAAATAATAAAAGTCCACTTATGCAAAAAGGAAAATGTAATTAGACTCTACGAATAAATCTTTTTCGTTTTTCAACTTTTATGTAATCATAAAAAAATAAAATAAAAATTAAAAAGAAAAGGAAGAGAGTTGGGTAAGGTCATGTCCTCGGGGGGGAGGGTGGGGGTAAGGGTGCTTCCAGGCTGAGTTAGGTATTGAAACATATATACCTTGACGGGGGAGTCTATAGAGTTCGCGAAGAATTCTCCATAAGAGGAAGATCGATATAGCTTGTCTCTAAGAGACAAGATGGGTGGGAGATAAGGCACGGGATGTAGACGGGATTATATTTTGGTACTCTGGTCGCGTGGGGCCAAGAATGGGGTAGGCATTTTGGTTGATAGGGATCTTCGGGAGCTAGTGGTGGAGGATAGGAGGGTGAGCGACAGGTTGATGAGTATTAAGCTAGTCGTTGGGCGTTTTACTTTACATGTGATTAGTGCATACGCACCCCAAGTGGACTTAGACGAGTAGGTTAAAGAGGCGCTTCTGGGAGGACTTCCATGAGGTTGTGCGTGGTATCCCGCTCACTGAGAAGCTTTTCATAACAGGAGATTTCAATGGCCACATTGCGGAGGCATTTGAAGGTTACGATGACGTGCATGGAGGCTTTGGTTTCGGAGTTAGGAACGGAGGAGGAACTTCGTTGTTGAATTTTGCAAAGGCGTTTGATTTGGTGATAGCTAACTCGAGTTTCCTGAAGGAGGAATATTTGGTTACTTTCCAAAGTTCGGCAGCCAAGACTCAAATTGACTATTCAGAAAATCTGATAAAAGTCTGTGTGTGCACGGACTTCAAGGTCATCTCGAGTGAGAACCTCACGACCCAGCATAGGCTCCTGGTCATGGATTTGGAGATTAATCAAGTAGGGAGCTATGACTCTGGAGTTGAGGGATAAGTTGTTGGCTATGGGGGCATGGAAGCGTAGTGGGATGCGAGTGATATGTAGACCGCGACTGCGAATTGCATTAGGGAGTCTGCTAGGGAGGTATTGGGGGTCTCGAAGGGTCCATCTGGTGGCCGCAAAAGGGACTGGTGGTGGAGCACTGAGGTCCAAGGTAAAGTGGAAGCCAAGAAAGCAACTTATTTGAAGCTGTTGGAGAGTGTGGACGAGGAGGATAAGAGGACGAACAAGGAGCAGTATAAGGTGGCCAAGAAGGAAGCTAAGTTAGCAATTACTGCGGCTAAGACTGTAGCGTTTGAGCGTCTGTATGAAGAACTTGGAGGCAAGGGAGGGGACAAGAAGCTGTACAGGCTAGCCAAGGTTCGAGAAAGGAAGGCCTGCGATCTGGACCAAGTGAAGTGCATCAAGGATGAGAAAGGTAGAGTGTTGTTGGACGACGCACTTATTCGACATAGATGGCAGACCTAAAAAAGCTATTCACCTTATTAGGAGGTTCATGAAGCAATATAGAGAGAAAGAGGGATTAACATATGGTGTTCATCGACTTAGAGAAGGCTTACGATAAAGTGTCGCGGAAGGTGTTGTGGAGATGTTTGGAGGCTAGAGGCATTCTTGTTGCATACATAAGGGTTGTTAAGGACATGTACGTTGCCGCTAAGACTCGGGCTAGCACAGTGAGAGGGGACTCGAAACACTTCCCGGTTATGATGGGGTTGCATCAAGGGTCAACCCTCAGCCCATTTCTGTTTGCCCTAGCGATCGACGCACTGACGCGTCACATTCTACAAAGGTGTCATGGTGCATGTTATTTGCAGATGATATTGTAATGATTGACGAGACGCGATGTGGTGTTAACGAGAGATTAAAGATTTGGAGACAGACCCTGGAGTCTAAAGGTTTCAAGTTGAGCAGGACCAAAATAGAATACTTGGAGTGCAAGTTCAGTGGCACGACTTGGGAAGTGGACGTGAGGCTTGATTCACAAGTCATCCCTTTGAGAGAAAGTTTCAAGTACCTTGGGTCTATTATACGAGGGAATGAGGAGATCGACAAGAATGTCACACACCGAATTGGGACGGGGTGGATGAAATAGAGGCTCGCTTTCAGTGTTTTGTGTGATAAGAATGTGTCACCAAAAGTTAAAGGTAAGTTCTATAAAGCAGTAGTCAGACCCACTATGTTGTATGAGGAGTAGTGTTGGTCAGTCAAAAACACTCATGTCCAGAAGATGAAGATAGCTGAAAGGAGGATGCTGAGATGGATGTGCGGGCATACCAGGTTAGATAGAATTAAAAATGAAATTATCCGGGACAAGGTGGGTGTGGCCCATGTGGAGGACAAGATGCGGGAAGCGAGACTTAGATAGTTTAGGCGTGTGAAGAGAAGATGCATTGATGCTCCGGTGAGGAGGTGTGAAAAGCTGGCATTGGAGGGCCAACGGAAAGGTAGAGACAAGTCAAAAAAGTATTGGGGAGAGGTGATTAGGCAAGATATGGTGTTGTTCCAGCTTACCAAAGACATGACCATGGATAGGAAAGTGTGGAAGTTGAGAATAAAGGTAAAGGGTTAGGTAACCGAGTGTAATCCTTGTTTGTAACAGTGGCTTTGACACACCACTTAAATGTCTTTTGAGTATTTTTTTATTCCTAAATTTCTGTTACTACTTGTTGTTTCTTCGGTTTTCTACTTGCATTACCTAGTGTTAGTTTTGTATTTTCGCTTCGGTTGTCAGATCGATTTGCTTGTTATTGCCTCTCCCATTTCCCTTACTGAGCTGAGGGGCTATCGGAAACAGCTTCTATGCCTTCTTAAAGGCAGGATAAGGTCTGCATACACTCTACCCTCCGCAAATCCTACTTCTGGGACTATACTGGCTATGTTGTTATAATTTTTATGTAATCAGGACCTTGTACAAAATGCATATGACATTATCAACCTGATGCACGATTTGTATAGTTTTTTCACAAGCACAATCTTTGTGATGTTTTGATTCCAATAGATTCTTACTCTTATCAAAGAAACCTAAAAGCCTTCTTATGATATGGCTATGGAGATATGGCGATGAACAAGGAGCACGCTGGAAGGAAATTATCAAAGCAAAGCATGTTGAGCGATGTCACTGGATCACTAAAGTGAATTCAGCATCATATGGTATTGGAGCCTGGAAGCATATTAGCAAAACTATGGCAGGAATCGTTTCTGATGTGTCTTTGAAGTGGTAGATGGATGCTAATAAATAGTTAAATACCAACATACTTACCAGGTAAGTTCTGTTTCATACCAAGAGAACCACATAATTCTGCAAATTTGTCATGCTTAGCAACAATCTCCAGCAGGATCATAAGATAATCTACCTTAAAGGAAGAAACCAAATTGTACACAGCCAAAAGATACAAGAACCCCAAGATCTCGTGTTGGTTCCCTTTTGTCACCTTCATCTTAACCCTCCAATCCCTTGCAATATTTCTTGCTACTCCCCTCACAAAATCCTGAATATCTGGGGAAACCCTAATTAACTGCTCTAACAGCAGAATGCAGCTCCGTCGGGCAACACTGCCCTCAAACTCTGTTTCTCCCTTTCTCAAATGGGGAGGATAGAAACCTTCCATTGCATCAAGAACCAGTTGTGCAGGGTCAGGAGACATCTGAAGAGCCTTAAAAACTTCGTCAGACATCAAATCCAGCACCTTCTCATGCTCATTTAAGAATATCTGCAACCTCTTTCCATCCATTATCACAACAAAACTTGTAACAGTAGAATTACCTACAATAGCATTGACCCTGTCCAGTGCTACTTCTTCCGCAGGCTCTGACTTTATGTGCGCATTAGGAATAGCATTCAACTGCTTCTCTTTCTCTCCGAGCTCTTTACACCTATCCTCAAAATGTTTCTCCCTTGATTCAAGCTCTTCTAATCTATCCTTAACACTTTCCTCTCCAAGTATAACTTCTTTCATGCGTTGCTCAAAAAGTCCCTGCTCTACCAGGAATATTTTCTTTTCTGATTGAAAGTCCTCATAGTTTTTTTTTTTGCAAATTCCTCTAGTGAATCCAGTTTCTTCTCCTTTGAATTAAGTTCTTCAAACCGCTGTTTATATGCTTCTTGAATAGAATCAAGCTCTCTCTCCCTCAAATTGAGTCTCTCATTGAATGACTTCAAGTGTTCCTCGTGGAGTTCAAGTTTCTTCTTCATTACATCATGAAATTTCTCCTTGTGCTCAAGTTCCTTCTTCATTGAGGACAAGAAGACCTCCTTAGATTCAAGTTGCTTCCTAAGAGCAATCAAGTTATCTGCTTCAGCTTTGAATTCCTTCTTCACCGACTCCAATTCATTCTCCTTCTCCCTCAGCTCCTTTTTCACAAAATCCATGTTTTTTTCCTTTTCTTTAAGTTCCTTCATCACAATATCTAAGTTATTTTCCTCCAATCCCAACTCTTTCTTCATATTATCCAACATATTTTCTTTAACAGAAAGTTCCTTCTTCACCACATCCACGTTAATTTCCTCCTCCCTTAGCTCCTTTTTAACAAAATCTAATTCTTTTTCCTTCTCTTTAAGTTCCTTCATCACAATATTTAAGTTACTTCCCTTCAATTGCAGTTCTTTCTTCATACTATCCAACATGTTTTCCTTATAAGTAAGTTCCTTCTTCAAAGAATCCAAGTTAATCTCCTTCTCCCTTAGTTCCTTTTTTGCATAATCCAATTTTTTTTCATTTTCTCTAAGTTCCTTCTCCAAATAGTCTAAGTTACTTTCCTTCACTCTTAATACTTTCTTCACACCTTCCAACCTGTTTTCCCTAACAGCAAGTTCCTTGTTCACAGATTCCACGTTATTTTCCTTTTCTCCAAGTTCTTTCTTCAAAATCTCCAATTTACTTTCCTTAACTCTTACTTCTTTCTGCATACTATCCAACCTATTTTCCTTGACAGCAAGTTCCTTGTTCATAGATTCCAAGTTATTTTCCTTTTCTCTAAGTTCTTTCTTCATTATCCCCAATTTACTTTCCTTCACTCTTACTTCTTTCATCACACCATCCAACCTACTTTCCTTAACAGCAAGAGCCTTCTTCAGAGGTTCCAAGTTATTTTCATTCTCCCTTAGTTCCTTTTTCACATAATCCAAGTTATTCTCCTTCACCCTCAGTTCTTTCTTCACATTATCCAACATACATTCCTTTATCACCAGCTCTTTATTTAAAGATTCCAACCCCATTTCCCTATCCTCAAGTTCCTTCTTCATGGACTGCAAATTATGTTCCTTGACTTTAATTTCTTCCATCTTTTCAGCCAATTCTTGATCTTTCAACTCAAGGGCATGTGTTTCATGGTGAATCCAACTCTGAATCCTATTCAAATTCTTCTCTTTCAACCTAATTTCAATTAATTTTTCCTCCACATCGCCTGTTTGTTTCCGCTCGAATTTAACCTCATCCCAAAGCCTTTCCACCACCTTCTCCTGATCATTCAGCTTCTCCTCCCTTAACTTCACAGTCTCAGCAAACCCTTTTCGTGCCAAACTCAAATCCTTCCACTTCGACTCCAATTCCTCCTCTTTCCTCTCAACTTCTTCGCGTTTTCGTTCAACTGATTCCCTAATAGCATTGAGTTCCTTCAAGCTCTCCGCCACTGATTCTTGAACTGATCCTAAATGCATTTCCTTGGATTCCATCTCATTGAAGCATTCCTTCAAACACTTGCTGGATAAATCTAAGTCCTTCTCAAAAGTTCCCCATTCCGAAATTAACTTAAATATTTTTTGACTTAACTCCACCGTCTTCTTCTCGTTGTTATGCAATGCTTCCGATATCTTTTCCAGTACACCCATATTGCTTCACCAACATACATACAAACAAAAAAAAGACAGATATTTAACAGTTAATACAGTACAGAGAGGAGAAAACCTCAGAATTTAGTCAATAATAACAGTTAACAAGAGTGCCGAAACAGAGAATTTTGTTTGAAAACTGATATTTTGGAAGCAGGAAAACTCCTATGGGAAGTTAAAAATTACAGTAGAAGGGTTGGTAGAGAACACAAAAACAAAACGGAACTGGAAAAGGGGAAAGGAAGTTTCCGCTTCTAATCTAAAAGGGAGAAGAGATGCATACGGATTCCGGCTGTTTTGACGATTGAATGACGTGGGTCCATCTGCCTTACTTTTCGCTTTCTTCTATTTTCCTTTTTGTGTGTTTTTTTTTTTTAATTCCTCGTCAAAATAGTACTATCTAGTTTAGAAGTCGGTCGATGTATCTTTAGCTCATCTGTTTTGAATTTTGATCTATATATGATACTCTTTATATTTTAAAACATTACACACTATTGCACTAATATTAGTATTATTTCTGTAACTCGTAAAACTCGTTTGATTTGATATTAGAAGAAATAGGTATGCTATAAATTTTAATATTGCTTTATCTAGTGTTTAATTTGTATTTTAAATTTTGAATATAAAATATTTATGTACCTAATTTAATAAGGGCGAAAATCATTTACATTCCCCAAGTTTACTCTAAGGGGTCATTTGGTAAGATTCATCAGATAAGCTAATGCATGCATTAGCTTTGTGTATTAATAATACATTGTTTGGTAGACATTTTGAACCTATGCATTAGTTATACATCCTATTTGGTATTATCTTATGCATCACTAATGCATAGAAAATAAGGGGTCGTTTGGTAGGGTGCATAAGAATAATGCTGAATAGGGCGTATTAGTAGTGTTGGTATTAGTTATGATTGCATTAGTTATGTTGGTATTAGTTATGCTGACATATTTCTTATCCATTGTTTGGTTTGATGTATTAAAGCATTGCACAGTTTCTAAAAGAATTGTTTGTTTATAAAAATGTCCTCAAAACTAGTCCACTCTAACTTTTTAAAAAAAACATATATTGAGAAATGTTTTTATATGAAAAAGTTAAAAAAAATATTTTATTTGTCTACCTATATTGTAAAATAAAATTAAATATTTATTTATAAAAAAAGAAATATGTTAAGTATTTATTTATTTACTAGGGATATAATTTTATTTTTCGCTATTTGGATTATTTTGAACTTGCATTAATATACTAACTAGTATATTTTAATCAAGCATAAATTTTGAAGGACAATTTTGTCTTTAACTAAGCTAATGCATGCATTAAAACCCATTGCATTGCTAATACCATTATTTTCTATGCATTAGTTATGCATAGGATAATACCAAATAGGATGTATAACTAATGCTTGCATAACTAATGTATAAGTTCAAAATGTCTACCAAACAATGTATTATTAATACACAAAGTTAATGCATGCATTAGTTTATCCAATGCATCCTACCAAACGACCCCAATAGTATTAGCAATGCAATGAGTTTTAATGCATGCATTCGCTTAGTTAAAGACAAAATTGTTCTTCAAAATTTATGCTTGATTAAAATATGCTAGTTAGCATATTAATGCAAGTTCAAAATAATCCAAATAGTGAGAAATAAAATTATATCCCTAGCAAATAAATAAATACTTAGCATATTTCCTTTTTTATAAATAAATATTTAATTTTATTTTACGATATAGGTAGACAAATAAAATATTTTTCTTAAAAACTTTTTCATATAAAAATATTTCTCAACATATATTTCTTTTAAAAAATTAGAGTGTGGACTAGTTTTGAGGGTATTTTTGTAAACAAATAATTCTTTTAGTAATTGTGCAATGCTTTAATACATCAAACCAAACAATTGATAAGAAATATGTCAGCATAACTAATACCAGTATAACTAATGCAAGCAAAACTAATACCAGCATTACTAATACACCCTATTCAGCATTATTCTTATGCACACTATCAAACGACCCCTAAGAATCAAACTCATCCTTTAACTTTGAACAATTGTCATTTTCATTCTTTCATCCTACACAATGTTTATTTTACCCTTGACATTTTCAACTCCCCATATATGTAATATTTTTTTATATTATTTAAATATTTTTTGATGCAGGTATTTATTCATATTTTTTAAAAAAAATATATCTTACTATATATTTAATCTAATCTCACTAACAATATAAATAAAATAATCATATTATAAATTTATTACAAAATATATTGCTACTTTATTATTATTATTTTAATATTATGTATATTAAAATGCAAATAATGTATGTCGGTGTGTGTAATTTTAAGTTCCACTATTTTTATTATTCTCTATGTGTATATAAATTTTAGAGTTCTAATTATTATTACTAGATTTTTAAAAAGAAATATAATTAAAGTTCATGTAAAGTGTAAATAATAATTTTTGCAAATTTATTATAACATTTACCTCTATTTTTCGTCCATTATATTTTGATTACATGCATTGTATATTATAAAATGTTCACTCTCTTTTATTCTCAATTTTATAAATTGATTGAGTTTTGATTGCTATTACGAGTAAATTATTTATTGTAATTTTTATTTTTCTCATTTATTTCACTAATGAACATCATTAACTCATTATGCTTGACTACTACTTCTTATTTTTTTGGTTTCCAAAATATTTTTAAAATTTATCTATAGGTAAGTCAATAACATAAAGTAAAATAAGAAAATATCATTATATATAAGAATTAAAATAAGTGATAAAAATTGTAGAGGTTAAAATAGGCATTTTAAGAAGTCACCTTTGATATGAGGAGCAAAATGACAATTATTCAAAGTTGAAGGATGAAGAAATGATAGTAGCTCTATGTTTTATAGGCTTTATCATATTCAATCGGAAGAGTTTGGGTAATAATTTCAAAGTGACTCTCGACGGGAGAATCCAAGCTATTCAGGAAGAATCACAACAATTTTCTAATCCTAACGATGTAGTTCCTCCGGGGTCAGAAGTGCATTACGAGTCGGACCAATCTGCGAATCGAGCGAGCCGACTGTTATCCCCGTCTAACTCAATTATTCGACTGTATGGCTATTGTGATTGCGAGAGAAAGGAGAGTTTAATTTTTAAAGCAAATTTGGGAAATGTAAATAGTTTTCACCCAATTTAACAAGGAATAAACGCACTTTATCTTTCCTCAAAATATTAGGATTAGACTTTCACCTTCCAATTGAATTCTACGACCTCAAATTTTAACAAGTACCTCTTGAACTCCAATTAAAATAAATGATCATTTCTCTTTATTCTTAATTTACTTTCAATCCATTAATAAGAGATTTCACAAGTATCACCAAACCTTAGGAAAGGAAGGTCACACAGATTTTTTTCTATATTTTCTGGATTCATGCATATCACAAACTACAAGGTCATAGTAGTAATTTAAAACAAAGTTGGAATATATCAGTGTAATTTGCCCTCTTCGCACTAATCTTAGGGCCCGTTTGGCCATAAATCTTGCCAAAATATATTTGTATTTTTCTTGGCAAATACATATTTGACCATAAATTTTATCTACTTTTTGGCAAATTCACAGAACCCAAATCCCATACATATTGTGAACTATACATATTGTGTAATTCACTATAAAAATGATAATTTGTACCATCTATTTTTGTTTAGGACTATAATTTGCGATAATATAATGAATGTTATTAATAAAGGTATTGTTGGGTATTTGTGATAGTTTTTAAAACTTGTGGGTATAAGTCATGTTTCTTGTTTTTTCAACAAGAAAAAGGTAAAATATGTTTTGAAACCATACGTCCAAATAAATTTTCATCTTCAAACCAAACTTCACCCAAATCAAATTTTTCAAAACAAATTTGGGAATCTATGGTCAAATGCTAGCTTAACTTCCTGGATACAATGAATACATAACTAACATGAATATTCTATTTATTCAGTGTTCAAACTTGAACTTCATGCAATGTGAAGGGGCTGCTCAAGTACATTCACAAGAATGGTGAAAATAACTCCTAACTAATTAATTTGAATACATCATGATTCTGGTCCAACTGTGGAAAAGGCAAAAGCTTATTGCAAAAACTTTTCTGCACGAGTCGGTGCCAGAACATGAAGAAAGCGCGGGAAGCAACATTATACACTCCCATGGATCAACCAAAAAGTTGATTAGATAAGAGCTGCAACACCAAATTGTTGCATCTCTCTAAGCCTCCAAATAGGGTGGAAAGCTCCTTCTCCGAGCTCTTCTGCTTCTACTAGTTGCATAGCCCAAGCGTAGTATACAGTGTGTATTGTATCCTAAACACAGCAAGAAATTTTAGCCATACCAGGGTTAAAAATCAGATTCTGAAGCCATAGCTTTGATGATGAGTTACTACAGATTGATCTATAGCAGATTCAGGTGTATCAGAAAAAAATGTTAAAATTAAATTGATCTATATGCAAAGGTGGACTTGTACAGATAATTTACCATAGAAAAACAAAGATGTTTCAACAAATGAATCTTGTCTAATGAATAAGCTTTTAAAGTCATCAAATTCAGAAATTCTTGATCGCTGCTTGTTAACAGCGGTAAAGTGTGTCGGCGTGACCTATAGGTCACAGGTTTGAGCAGTAGAAGAAGCCACTAATGCTTGCATTAGGGTAGGTTATCTACATCACACCCCTTGGGGTGCGGCCTTTCCCCGGATCCTGCATTTGTGCAACGGGCTGCCCTTTTTTAACTTGTTAACATCTTTAGTTCAGCCTTTCCCCGGATCCTGCATTTGTGCAACGGGCTGCCCTTTTTTAACTTGTTAACATCTTTAGTTCAGCCTTTCCCCGGATCCTGCATTTGTGCAACGGGCTGCCCTTTTTTAACTTGTTAACATCTTTAGTTCAGCCTTTCCCCGGATCCTGCATTTGTGCAACGGGCTGCCCTTTTTTAACTTGTTAACATCTTTAGTTCACATGTAGTAACGTGCTTTTACGTATGAAGATCACACTAGTTAACATAGAAAAATGACAATTTGACCACAGGGATTGAAGAAGGCAAATTTGACATCAAGACGTTTGTTCATGATGCAATTCGATACGAAATACCAAATTGACCAGCAGGGTCAAATAACTGAATAGTCAATGTAGGACATGAGAATAACAATCTAAAAAAGGGGATAAAACTTACCTTTCCCCCTTCTTTAATTGAACCAAGTTTATCACGTATGCAGTAGACCTGTTGCGTTTGGAACTGCGAAAATTAACCAAGATTACTATCAGGGTTTCTCCATCATTCACATACACTATATGCTTAAAGTCATTGTTAGGTACAAAACCCTTTCAAGAGGTGCATTGGTCCAGACATCAAAAAAATGAGGAAAGATGCTTGCCGCCAACATGATTATGTGACTGTACATCAAAAAAGAATAAGGAGAGATACTTACCGCCAAAATGATTATGGGACTGTCTCCCATCATTTTTGTCTCCCGTACTTCAACATCCGAAATATGCAAAATCTGCATGAATAAGAGAGAAAGAGAGGTTAATCATATAGTAGTATAGTTTAGACATTTATGTGTGATAGAAGCACAGAAATATAAAAGTTGCATTTGTCCAACACCACCCTTTTCTTTTGGGAAGGGGGAAGCACGGAAGCTCATTTTCAGTAGGTTATGAGATTCCCAGTAGCACGGGGAGAAACCACAGGAGAGGAAAAGGGAAGCTTGACACTAGAGAAACCAATTAGTACTGAACTCAAGCTATTCAACGGCCCCTTAATATAGTATACCATGGGATGCAAAATGAGAGGTCACAAGTTTCATGCAGAATTTCCCGTTTTAGCATCTTTCCAACGGCGAAAAGTGGAAATCTGGGATGACTTCAAATCAAGGCCACTGGACTATTGCAGAAATGCAGTATCCAATACTTAGATCAAGATCAATAAGAAACAGTAAACAGCAGTATGCAGAGTGAGCAAAACTGTAACTAATGACGGGCTATAACCTCCAAATAAACAAAAATAGAGCATATAAAAAAACAAAAAAATGGCACCCTACAAAGTTCTAGATTTGTTGAACAGGTTTCAAGACAGAAGTGAGATAATTCTAGTCAAGGATAAGTGCATGGATCATCAGCGTAAATCATCTACAGCAGTAAGAAAAGTGTCTCAAATATTTTTAAATTCCCAAAGAATTCTAGTTCTATTAAATTTACTAGCTTTTTGTCNGGCTATCAAAAGCTTGATGCTCTGCTTTACACCGCTCAATTACCTCTTTGCTGCAATATTTCTTCAACGCCTCTGTATCTCCCTAATGAGCCAGAAAGCAAGATATCGTTGAAAGAAGATGAAAAACGTAAAATACCAAGTATATCAACAAGAGAAGATTCAACTAGTAAAAGACAATATTGTGCTTGGTTCAAGGAAGGAAAAGGGAGGGTAACGCAAAAAAGATGGATCTATTGATTTACTCCTAAAGTATTTATCCGTCCCTTGAGGTTATATTAAATCTATCCAACGGGCCGGGATGGCCCGTTCCGGACCGGACCGGTGGTAAACGGGCCGGGCAGGGGTGGGATTACGGCTGAACAGGCCTGTGCCGGTGGTGTTTTGGATACCGGTTCCGGTAATATCTTGTCAAATTTGAACCGGTGGACCGGATCGGCCCAGACCGGTTCAAACGGCTTGTTTATTTTTTATTTTTAATGACATTTGACTGTTGACAACGGTCAGCTCCAATTTTGACCGTCAACCAACGGCCTTAATTGCAAGAATAACCCTTTTTTTTTTTTAAAATAACACTCTTATTATTTACTAATTTAACCCTTTGAAAAACTATAAATAGACCCCAGTCATTCTCTCATTCTTCAACTAAATTGCTATCACCTATTTGGCTCTCATTTTTTTGGAATTATATTTGTCGTATTATTTGAAGTTTATTCGTGGTAACGTCGGAGTTGCGAAATTCAATTTCAAGACTTCAAAAATCATGAAGTGTTCATATTATTGTGGAATTCGGTGCACTCATTCCAACTCTTTCTCTTATTTAATATTTTATTTGCATATTAATTTTTAATAGTAGTTAAATTTTCATGATATGTTTAATGCTGCAAAACGAGTTTGTAATAAGGTTGCTAATCGGGTAATCGGGGAAATAGAAAAAGAGGTGCTACTTCAACTTCTGGTAGTAATATAAATGACTTTATACATGTTTCTGAAACATCACCTGATAATAATATAGATTATCAATAATTACAGGAAGATTACGGTATATAAGATAATGAATTAGAAATTGAATATGTGACACCACCTACACCTAGCAGTTTTGGAGTTGGTAGCAGGAGTGGTAGTCTGGGCACTAGTAGTAGACCACCAGTGGCCCCGACTACTGGTCACCGGAAAAAGAGAAGTAAAGTGTGGAAATATTTTGAGGAAATAGATAACTCTAATAGAGTTAGATGCAAAATTTGTAAAGAAGATTATAAACATAAGACTGGAGGAAATTTAGGGGGAACTACTTAGTAGACATATGAGAATTACTCATCTTATAGAGTGAGGCTCTAATTTAGATGAAAATCAAGGAACTCTAAACCTTAATACTGGAGGACTTGTGAAATATGATAAAATGAAGGACCGTGAGGAGTTAGCAAAAATGATTGCATTGGGTTGTCAACTTTTTTTTTTTGCTTCATCATATTTTGTTATGTATGTTCAAAGGATTTATAATCATTTATTTAAAGGTATCCCTAGAAGTACTTGTAGATCTGATATCTTTAGGCTTCATGGACAATATCAGACATACATACGTTATTTGTTTGACCACCTTCCTTGTAGAGTTTCTCTAACTTTTGATATTGGCCATGCTGTTAATGGAAATGATTATTTGACAATTACATGTCATTGGATAGATGATATTTTGAGATAGAATTATTTTTTTTTAGATGGAAGATAGATGATATTTTTTGTATACAAAAACGAATTATCACTTTTAAATATGATTAAGATAAGAATCATATTGTTGTTTCGATAAGTACTACTCCCTCTGTTCCAATTTATGTGAACCTATTTGGTTGGGCACGGAGTTTAAGAAAAAATAAAGACTTTTGGAATTTGTAGTCTTAAAGAAGTTAAAAAGGGGCCCAGAGTATTTGTGTGATTATAAAAGCTTATCATTAAGGGTAGAATTGTAAGTTTAAGCTAAATTATTTCTAAATTTAGAAAGGGGTCATACTTTTTGGAACGGACCAAAAAGGAAATAGGTTCACATAAATTGGAACGGAGGGAGTACTATTTGCAAAGTTGTTGCATTTTACAATCTCAATAAAAAAAGTATAGTGTATGTCTTTTGATAATGCTTCTAACATTGATGTCGTTATTTCACTATTAAAACTGCATTTGCAACCACCACTTGATGATATCTTTCATGTTAGGTGTGCATGTCATGTTTATAATTTAATTGTTAAAAGTGGTCTTGATTTATTTTCTACTGAGATTACTCATGTTAGAAGAGCAGTTGGTGTTATTCAAGAAAATAATAGACAATCTAGAATTAGGGAATTTAAGGCTAAGTGTATCGAACATAACCTTAACCCCAGATTCATGTCACATGAAATTGTTACTAGGTGAAATTATACATACTTATTTTTAAGATGTTGCTACAAATATAAATTGCTTATAACTGAAGTTGCTAATGCGCATTGTACTGATCCAACATGTATGTTAACAATTCATACTTGGGAGGCAAATAATGATGTTAAATTTTTACATAAATTTTATATAGCTACAGTTGAGTTTTCTGGAGCTTACTACCCTACTGTTACTATAGTTTTAGTACATATAGCTGAAATTTCTCTTCTACTCTCTGATTTCAAGAAGAAAAATACAAGGATGCTGTTGAAAAAATGCAAGCAAAATTCAAAAATATTTCATTCCAATTCCTCCGGTTTACTAAATTGGTTTTGTTTTAAATCCTTCTATTAAGATATCTAATTGTCGCTAATTAATCAATGTTTTATATACTTATATGGAGATTGGACTGACTAAAACCCCAGATATATATTCTTGTATGAACAAGCTAAATGATTATTTACAACAATTATATAATTGTTATGCAAATTTAATTGACAATGTTGCTAATGATGTAGGAAATGTTGATCCCACTTTTCATTGTACTACTTCTACTTCAACATCTGCTATTATGGATGAAGACGAAAACCTTGATGGTTTTAATTTTTGGTGTACATTTCCTTCCACTCAAACCAGTAGCAGGAACATTGATGAACTTCAATTATACTTGCAAAAGCAAACGGAGACTTGCACAAAGGAATTTTCATTGTTGGCATTGTGGCATGAAAATGAAAACAATTTCTTGTTCTTTCGGCAATGGCTCAGGACATGTAAATGTGTCAATTTCAATCGTTGCATCAGAGAGCGCATTTAGTCAAGTAAGACAACAGCTAGAAGACACCCGTAACTCATTGGGAAGCAATTCTTTGGAAGTTCTAGTATGTTTCAGAGATTGGATTAGATCGAAGCGAAGAAATCAAAGACGTGAAGATGTTGAAAAACCAAAAGACGAGGAACTTGAAAATATATTAACAAATGGTAACCCATCTGAATTCAACACTCCAGAAGATGGCCAAGAAGTTCATATTGACTATGAAGAACTTACTAGGGCAATGCAAAATCTTTGAAGTTTGAAGACTATATTTAATAAATCAAATTTGAATTTACCCTTTTTTCTTTAGTTTAGTTGTTGTTAAATGTAAACTTTAATTTGCAAATTTAAATTAAAAAAAGAACTTGCAAACTATAAGTTAATTTTTTTTCATGTTCATTGTATTATCTTAAATTCTTAATGAAATATTCAAATATAGTACTTTAAAGCCTTTGAAGTTTTTATTCAAACATTCTCTTTATGAGTTAGTTTTTAATGTTTTACATTTTTACTTTATCTTAATATAAATTACGATTGTTATACAAAATCAAAAAAAAAAAAAAAAAGACCGGACCGGCCAATTAGGCCAGGTACCGTTCCGGTTCACTTTTTCACCGGCTAAGACCGGTAATTTAAAACCGATAGCCGGACCGTTGCCAAGACCGGCCGGTCTCATATTCCTCTAGCCCAGACCGGACCGGCCTGGCCCCCTAACACCCATAGGTTATATTGTCAAGACATATACTTTCTCCACTGTGTCCAACTTCAGAGGGGTTTAAAGCTAGACGTGGAGAGGTTGCACCATTCACTCTTAGTTGTGGACCAAACAAATGACTAACCCATACCCTTCGTTCTGCCTCTCCCATTTTCACCCCACACAAAATATAGTGTAGATGTGTCTATAAGCTTTATTTAATGAACTTGTGCATACTTACTTTGAAGAAAGCTTCAAGAACTGGTCGAATCACTTCTTGAACCTCAGCAACAAATTCAGGTAAAGAGAACGACCTTCACAAAACATATTTCAAATTTCTTAAACAAGCCAAAAATGATAATGGAAAATCAAGCAAAAGAAAGTTGTAATCATACGGATCTCTGCGGCGAATCTCTTTAAATGACATTGCAGCTGATGATTCTCCCCCCACAGTTTGATTTAAACTGTAACATTAACATGGAAATTATAAGCTGATCTTAAATTGAACTCTACCCAGAACACAGCATTAAAATTTGAATGTGTAGCCATACTCTTGGATTTTGTGAACAATGGGATGATCACTTGTTTCCCATCTCTCACGAATATCTTCTGCAATCTGTCATTCGGCACATAAATATTTTACATAACTTCATATTAAATTAAATCCAGATTTACTACTTCTGCTCTTAGCTAAAAGTTTTATGCTAAAGAATATTCACCTATAAACACATTCCAGATCAAGCCATGTATATCCTCATTGGATCAAATATAACAGAGGGAAAAAAATAAATGAAAATTATTACGAGCAGAAAAGATAAAATTCTACTGAGAATCTGAAAAGTACCTCCTGGCTTCTTGTTACAACAGGTTCACTCATGCCAGTGAAGCGCTTAAAAAGAGGGTGACCTTGCATCTGAGAATAATAAAAACTCATGGAAAAAGGATTACAAAAGGCAAAAGACAAGTTCACCTGCATTTCAACAGGGACTAATAAGTAAGAAAATTACTTTATCCTTGAATGCCTCCCATTTCTTATTCCATTTCGATTGCTTTGATGGTAAGACAGCAACATCAGTCCTTGTGCTTCTCTCAAAGTTTGCTGAAGTTTCTTGCGTGGGAGCAGAATATTCGAGGCGCTTTCTCTTACCTGGAGTACCTTTCAACTCATCCAATATGATGCCATATCCCTTCTTGGCTAAGTCAATAGGCTTTGCTTCTTTAATTTTCTGGAAGGCTGGTGACACTTTTGATGATAAGGATGAAGCAGCAGACTTAACCTTGCTATAAACTGATTCTGCACCATCACTGGAACCAGATTGCTGCTGTTCCTGTTGATTTTTTGCTGATGCAGACTCACTACTCTCATGGGTATTTGAACTAGAAGTATGTGAATGACCACTTGATCCTGGAGCTTCTTGCTTCCCCATCCCAAAACTTTCTTTGACCTAAATACAAATCAGGGTTAACTATCATCTCTTTAAAGAGTTGACCATAATTGGGAAATGTGCTAAGAAGAGCTAGGTGAAAATTAACCAACCTCCTCTTTAGTAGCAGAAATTTTTTCCTCCACATTGGAAAAAACCTACAAGATAAATTACATGAACTCAAAAAACAGTGACTAGAACTTAATAGTTTTGAAGGAACTTTCATGATTCGGAGATTGAAAGATCAATATCTTCGTTCGAGTTCTTGGAAAAGATCTCAGCTACCACACAAGAGGAAGATACAATTAGATGGAATAGTGACAGGAAAAAGCTTCACATGATAACCTAATATAGAAGTCTCATGTTTTGCTGCATAGCAATGCCTGGTGCTTGACACACGATAACCTATGTAGAAGACTTTATTGCAAATAATAATATTGCAAAATAAACGGGGCAAAACCCCTGTACAAAAGGATCCAGCATGTGTAAGAGATGATACATCTGTGAAACAGATGTTGGAATTGTGAGTCACGACTCGCCTATTTATTCACTGGAAGGCTGCGAAGGAGTTGACATGCTTTTCAACTTGCTTTTTACTAAATAAAAGGGAAAAACCCCAATATACAAGAGGATCCAGCATGCGTAAGAGATGATACATGTGTAAAAACAGAAGCGGGAATTGTGAATCACCTATTTATTCCCTGGAAGGCTGCAAAGGCGCTGTGGGGGCATGTTTTTCAAATTATTTGTAACAGAGAGGCCATGCACAAATCTCTAAAAGCAGTCTATAGCTGCTGACAGGGAGAAAAAAAGGGAAGCTCAATCGCAAGATATGGGGAACTGTACTAGCATGTATTATATGGACAAAATGAAGGAGAAAGAAATCAAGAATGTTCGCAAAGTGTATGCACGCCATTATACATTGAAAGCAAAATGACTAGTTAATCTAACTTGTTGGTGCAATTAAAAGTTTGTAAAAGATGTAATGACTGGACTTCATTAGCTCCCTTCATTTTTAAAGGGAGGCGGAGGTGCTTTTTTACTTATTGCATTCATTGGATCCCCCTTAACAAAAAATTTAATATTTTATCAGAAAAAAGGGCAACGGATTAACAAGAGTTAACTTGGGATACCATCCAAATACCTAGAAGAAGCTTTGCACAGCCATGAACAGATGCTAAAACAGTCTTGAAGAAAAACACATGCTTGGAAGCATTCATTTTGAATAATCTCATTCATGATTCAGCAATCAAATATTAGACCAGCACCAGAGAGACTGATGGAGGTTGCACTATTACCTTTTTTGCCGTAGCTTCAGCCTCCGTCCAAACACCATCCACATGCTTGTAAAGCTGCTCAGTTGTCTGCTTCGTTCTGCATTCGCCAGTTCACCATTTCAGGGTCCCCATTGGAAGTTCTGCCAGCCTTGACATACAACAGTATGTCTCAGCCCCTTAAGGAAAAGGCTAAAACTACTATAAAATATATTTACAGGAAATCTAAAAGACACCTTGTTTTAAGATCTTCCTTCACCTCTTTCAACTCCTCTGCTTTCTCCTTCAGTACCTTGACTGACTGTTGGAATTCTTGATTTCTGCAGCCATAAGCATTGAGGAATAAGCCCAATGACACCCCCAATAAAGCATTAGCGCAAATAGATAGAGAGGGTGACACAAACAGTTAAACTTTTACTAGTCATAACATTGAGAAATAAGTGCATTCTCTACCTTCTCACTTCTAAAGATACCAACATGTCCCCATAGTCCCATACCACCCACCCCAAAAAAGGGAAAGAAAGAAAAGAAAAAAGAAATGCTCAGAATCAGGTTACTCATACTGCATTTCGACAGATCTTCTAAAGAGTTTAGTGCAGCAAAAGTTTAAAACAGTGCACCAAATATGTTCAGGAGAATCAACTACTACTCATTAACAAATTTAGAGTAAAAATTTGCCATCAAAGTGTTCCATATGAATAAAGTGGCACGAGCATAGCAAAATTTGTCCAACAATTGCAACTCCTGGAACGAAATGAAATGAATGAAATTTGAAGAGAGGATTAAGGCTAGGAAGATCATTAATGGCAAAAAAGTGAAATGGAGTAAAATATGACAAAAGGAGATAACAATACTATATTGTTCTATAGAATAGTCGATGCTTGTGGGACATAAAATTACATTGAAAGGATTACGATTGATGGCTTCAAAGTTTCATAGGAGAGAGACATTAGAGAAGGAATAATCCTATAAATGCAAGCATTTGTACATTGAGAAGGAGATTTGAAACCACAGCTGAATAAAGTTCCCTTTTGAACTATTAGTTCTGATGAAAGGAAAGCGCTTGCAAGACCTATTATCATGGATGAAATGATGGAGGAAATGAGGATTTGTGGGAGAGACAAGGCACAGGAACCTGATAGTAAACCTAATTCAGATAGTTTGCATCTTATCAAAAAAATGAAAGGATGACTTTCATATGAAGCAACTAGCCCTTTACTGAGTACACATGCAAACAGGGATTATGAAGAAAAAAGACGACTTCACGAGATTCACTGGCTTCGCCATTGGAAATGGCTAGGTTTGGTTGAATATGTGGCATTAAGATGCAATCTATGTCCATTGGTGTTAGCTATTGCTAACGATAGGATGCACTTGTGGGCTTGCAGCTGACATGATCATAGAAATCAATCAAGGAAATTACTGGAAGTTTAGCTTGTGAAGAGCTATTCAGATTGAGTATCCTAGGAAGTGGAAGTGTCCAAAAAGATGTTTTACAGTTACACTGAGGAGGAATGTGGGAAGGCTAGGATGATATAAAGAGGGTCTGCATGTATATTTTCATAAAACTCTTATTCCTTATGTCTACCTAATTGAGGAGATAAGAAGCCAGGGTAGAAAGAGATTTTAATACTAAAGCACCGAAGAAAGTTGCAAATTTTACATGGGTGTGTCACTGGGAATGCAACACTTACAAAGATAATCTCATAAAGAAGAAAAAGATTTCTTTAAGTTGGAGAATTATGTGCCAAGGGCTCCGAGCATATGTTGTTAACTTGCTGTAACACAATAGAGTAGCTTCATAGTATTTGGCATTTAAGTTCTCTCAATGTAACGTTGATTGGGCAGCGGGAACCCCAAAGATAGTGTTGGAGACTATGGAAAGATGGAGAATTGGGGAGCAAAGAGGCTTGCACCCAAGCGTCCGTTATGCTTTTTCTGGAACATTTGGAACCAAAGGAACTGGAGGATGAATCCAAGCAAACTTAATACATATAAATATCTCGTTTTTATCCATATATACTTAGGCGTGGAGAATTCCTTTGTGTAGATAGATGGGTATGCTTTAAGGGAGATCAAAGAACCTACATACCCCAATTTTTTTTATATTTGTGGCGCACCTTAGCGAATTAATGAAATGATGTCTGATTTATACAAGAAATATCCTAATAGCAACTCCTCCAACCATGACTTTGAGCTAGATATAGCAAGCCCAACATTGATCATTACAAAAAGGAACTTCTAATTTGCACCCAAGGATGTGGCCTAGCGGTCAAAGAAGTGGAAAGTGAACAGGTTGAATCTCAACGAAGGCAGAAACAACTAGGTGATTTCTTCCAATCTGCCTAAAGCAGAGTTACCCGATACCTACCATAATGGGAGGTAGCAGGTACTCGGTAGAATTAGTCGACCATGTGTAAGCTAACCCAGACTCTACTGTCCTTTTAAAAAATGAGCTCTTAATTCTCAGTATTAAAATTTCCCAGCTTGCACAAAATCCCTTTTTTCTTCTTTACTACAATTATCCAAGAAAAAATTGGTAAAGCTACAATCTTTCAACTTAAAAAAAAGATAACTAAGTAATAGCTACAGCATTGAAATAAAATGCAATACGAGATAGCAAATAGCAAATACCTATCAACTTCTCCTTTAACCTTCTTGGAGAACTCATTGAATACACCAAAATTACGAATGCCCGGATAATGCCTATCTGCTCCAACCAACCTCAAATTTGTTGCAACTCTACCATAAACCACCTTTACAAACACAAACTTAAAAATAAGAAACTTTTTTAAAAAAGGAAACAAGACCCATTAAACACAAATTCAATAGCTTCACAATCAAGACAGCAAACAACAACCCCCCCCCCCCCAA